TACTATTTAGGAATTAAATAAAATATATATTCCGAATATTTTGTTTAATAATAAACTTATTATAATAGTGCTATAATTAGTATTATTCATTTAACCTTAGCTAATTTTATTTATTTATCAGTATATGTTGATTTATTATTATTTATTTATTTAAACACCTTTTTAAAATTATTTCCATGTTTTATTCTCATGTTATTGCAATTACTAAATGCATTTGATCCTCTTTGCCTTCTCTTAGGTCTACTATGAGCAGCTGGTGCTGCATCCGGAGGAGTGGATGCGCAAGATCTTGAAGTTCTTGGACGTGCCGTGGAACAGTGCGGTGCTGCACCACGAGGAGTTCATCAACAAGCCCAACGGTGTGCCGCTGTCCAAGTGAGTAGCAGCTGCAGCATTTGGTTGCCCCATCAGCTAATTGCGAAACTCTGCGACATTCTCAAACGTTTTCTCTTACTTTGTTGTTGATGCACCCTTTGTTAGAGTGGAGCGGTCATCGGACCAGGTCATCAAGCCGGTCAATCTTGAGGCGCTGTCCAAGTGGGTGGGCCATATACCCGGCGATGTGGTGCGCGACATGGCCGACATTGCGCCCATGCTCTCCGTGCTGGGCTACGATCCGTATGCGAATCCGCCGGACTACGGTAAGCCAGATGCATGGGTGCAGGACAATACATCTAAGGTATGTGCAACAAACAATCAGACAGGCAGACAGCGTCGCAGCGTCAGTCAGATGTGTTCAGTCAGTCAATCGGTCCGGCATGGAATGGCACACACACACACACACACACACACAGAGACACAGACACACCAACCTCTCGACCATTACCCAATTCCATTTCCATTTTCATTTCCATTTCCATTCACGCTCTCGCCTGCCACCCCGATCAGCCATGTCCGGATCCGGATATCCCCAAAGCATTCAACATGGCGGCCATCCTTTTTGTTGTCGTTCCAGTTAACATTTTGTGTTGCCATCTTCATTGTCATCCTCACTTACATTTTTTTTCGCTCTGCACGATTCTATTTTTTTTTTGTTCACTTTTTGCCGCCACAGTAGTTGTTGCCGTTGTCGTTGTTGCTGCAGTTGCTCGGCTCTTTGTCGCTCCCGTTGGCTTCTGTCATTGCCATATTTTGCACTTTTGCTTTGTGACCACGATTGTTGGCCATATTCGCAGATAACGTGCTGTTGAGCTCTCCTTATTCTTTTGCACAAAAAGCTGGAACACACAGCTAAAGCGGGCTGACTACGATGCAACCAGCTGCTGTGGCTGCTGTTGCCTGTTGGTCTATCAAGTCAACTGGCTTTGTCTCTAGTCCGATTGTACACAAAGAGAAAGAGAGAGAGAGAGAGAGAGAGGAAAAGAGAGTTGACTTTGGCAGCGCTTTAAACGGAAATGACTTCAAGTCCTTAAATTGATTAAAACATTTTAAAAACTTGACTAATTCGGCATTTGCATTGAAAACTTTTCAAAAATCTCTCCAAGAATTTCAGACAGCAACAATTTAATCTGCAAATCCTGCGCTTTATAGAGTATCTGTTGAGCTGGTCAACTCGAGCGATTGAGAGAGCTTTTCTAACTTGTTACACGCGACTTTATATATATTTTTTGTTCTGTTTTGTTTTGTGTTTGTTTGTTTGTTTCTTGCACTCGCCTTTTTTGCACTTGTTCTATTTTTATTTTTATATTT